GCAACACTTGGCTCATTTGAGAAATAAAGAGTCGAGGTCCAATTATTTGATTTCAATGAATCAACTATCTGTCGTAGAAAACCTGGTAAAATACCCATTTATGCTTTTTGGAATTTCAGTATTTCGCTGATTTTATATGCTTTTAAGTATGAATAATCAATTGATCGCTTAATAATGATCAAACTCATTTTTTTATGTAGTGATTGATAAACTAACACGACGTTTGACGTACCTGAATGCCTTTTTGCCTTACGAGAATATGTGACGGGAAAGCAAAAAACTGAGAAGCCAATCATTGTTGTGCACATCAAGAATGATCAAAAAATCACGTGTTCATAAGTCGACTACGTAATATACATTAAAGATTGCGTGCTCTCAGCATTACCATAATTGTACATTTTGTAACTAAACTAGGAAGGTATGGTGTCAAAAAAACTGGTGCAATTTCGCGGGTTATCAAAAAGTAAAAGGTTTTTTGGATTCTATAAAATGGTGAGAGGTGTGGGTGAATTTTTCGTAAATTTTTTGTTTCTCACAATGTTGATGACAGAATCAAGAATAAAAAGCGAATGTTCACGTTGTTTAATATCTCGAATTTCGATCACGTGATTCTGGGATTTGAGTTATAATAAATCAACGAACCAGCAATTTTTTTCTCGAAACTATTTATTAGATCATGTGAATAACAATTAAACATTCGACTTCACTTCTTCACAGAGAAAGTTGCATATGATTGGTAAATTCGGTTCAAGCTAAACACAATCGATTGATGTGGGTACCGATCTGTCATCATAATTATCATTTATATCAACAATAAACGAAAATTTTTCTATTGTCTCTTGCGTTGGAAAGTTTTTTTTTTGTTTCTTCGGCATTTTCAAAAATGGCATTTTAATTACAAATTTTGTTTTATAGATGTTGTCAAAGTAAAATAATCGAATCCATATAAAATGATGCAATTAGTTAGAAAAAAGTTTTTACAATCTTAAAAATCCAAAAAAAAAACAAAATAATGAGCTCTTCTCAAGCACAACAAAGTCAGATTCCTGAAAACATGACGTCGAGTCAAAAGAAGAAACTTTTTACTTTTAAAAGGACTACCCTTTATTTAGAGAATAAAGGTAGTATTGCTAGAGACCATTTAGGTAAATAAAAAATATATTATATGTATCTTTATAAAATATAGAAATAAAACGGATTCTTTGTTATAGCAAATGAAAGAACATTTCTTGCATGGCTGCGTACTGCTTTGTCATTCTCTGGGATAGGAATTGGTAAATTTAAACTATTTTTCATTCAAAATCAAAATACATCTATATTAAATAATAACTATTTTTTCTACCACTTAATATCCAGCAATTTCTCAACTATTCAAACTAAGTGTGCAGGAAAGAACTATGAAGGGAGGAACTATGCTATCATCGAGCCCCAGTGAAAAATCTGCGAAAGTGTTATCCGTCACATTTATCTTACTTGGGATGGTATTTTTATTGCTGGGTATCTTGCGTTACTTTAATTCTCAAATGACAATGACAAAAGGACGATTTCCTGCTACAAGATTGAGTATTATTGTTGCTGCTTTTTTGACGATTGCTATATTGGTTGGAATTATTGTTATGTTGGTGATAGATTCTTGATATTCTATAACAATAAACAATCAAGAAATATATGGTCAAACCTTTATAGTCTAGTGTTTCAAAGATTCTTATTTTTATTACGTGATTGATAATTATAGATTTTTGACATTATAGCAATTATAAAAATAATTATAATTATAATAATTATAATAATTATAGTAATTATAGTAATTATAAATAATTAATAAGTTATATATAAAATTACATGTTTAAATTATATATAAAAATCATTTTATTTAATAAAAATATAAATAATTAAATTAAATTATTAAAATTATTAAATATAATAAAAAATTAATTATTAATTATTAATAAAATAATTATATTATAAAATATTTTAATTTACTAATAGTAATATAATCAAATTTTTTTATAATTATATTTATTTATAATTATATTTTTTTATAATTATATTATTTATTTTTTATTTATATATAAATATAATAATAAATCTTTCTATAATTATAATTTCTTTATAATATCCAATTTTATTTTTTCAAGAATGAAAAAGATTGATTACAATATATTAAATATAAATTATAATTTTAGTTTAATATAAAAATAAAAATTTTTATATTAATTAGTATTTAATAGATTTTTGTATATAAAAATATTTAGTTTTATACTTTTTTAAATTTTTATATAAATTTCGAATTATATTTATATAATACAGAGATCTAAATCCAAATCATTAATAATTAATTAAAATATAGTCAAATGTTTTTATAATTATTTTCTATATAGTTATATTATATAAAAATTCTATTATAATTACTTTTTTTAAAAACCAATAATAAAAGCATTTTATTATAAGCATATTCATTATAAAATTCATTATAATTACAATTATAAAAAATTATTATTGGATCTAATAATACAATTATTGAAAAAGTTAATTATATATTTAAACTAAAATAAATTTATAATAATATAAAAAAAATACTATATCACATAAAAATTATTAAAAATGAAAAACAATGAAAAGTTATTGTTTTTGTATTTATCAATTAATAAAAAATTATTAGGAACTTGAACAGGTAATATTATTTTAAAAAATTTTTTAAAATTAAAATAAATGTAAATATATAAAAATTTATTTCTTTTAATAAGTTATATTGATTTTGTGTATTGTTATCATATGGGCTAAGTGCAATAAAAATAATATAAATTATATTATAAATTCTAATACAATTTACACTGTTTCTATTGCACTTAGCGCATATGTTGGTTTTGTTAGTAAATGTACAAATGATTTTTCATTCATTCATTTTATTAACATTAAAATGATCTCGAATTTTCCAAGTTTGACCGAGTGTTAGTCTATACATTAATTATAAACGAATAGTAATAAAAAAAAATAAATAATAATATTATTAGAGATTAATAACTTAGTAACGTTAATATTCCCTCCATCACAC